CCCCATCTGTAGGATGCAGGCAGCATACAAAACCATGCCTCCTCCACTCTGTGGAAAAGCCTCTCTCCATGGAATTGGTCCCTGGTGCCCAAAAGGTTGATGGGCACTCACTGGTTTAGGGCTATTTGCCCTTTTCCTTCACCTTAAGATACTTTTTTTTTTTTTGGAACTTATAGCAATATATCTGTTAATGGCTGAATTATGGGGTCCTTGGTGGTCTCTGTCTTACAAATGTTTCTAGGAAACATCATCAGTATTAGAAGGGAGTGAGTTTTGCACTCATTTTATATACTAGTGGCTTGCCCTGTCAATGTTAGTGGGAGTGGTCTTGGTGGTTGCTTGATTAGACTGTTGTTTACTGTTAGCTTATTTGCTTGCATTGGGAGTTCCTTGATTTGGGTATTGCTTACTTCTTGATTGTTGGTTGGATGTTAATCTTGGTGTTAATCTCTAATCATCTGGGTATTAATTGCCAGTGAGGAGGTGTTTTGGTCTTTTTGTTTCCTTTTGGATATTTTGATTTTTTCTTTTGAATATTCTGTAGAAGTTGTTTATATCTATGCACCTGTTGATGGTTGATTTGTTAGAGTACCAGGCTTCCAGGAATTCTCTAGCATTTTTGGAGTTGACTTGGTCTAGGATGCTCACAGTTTCCTAATTGAAACAATGGTTAGGTCTGTCTATATTCTGTAAAATTAAGGAGTTTTCATCACAGTTGGTCCTCTTGGACCAACTCATATACCTTTAATTCAAGAAAAAGACAGCATACAACAGTAATTCAGGCCACAATAATCTAATCAGAAGGCATAAAGTGGTGAGTTTTTGTGAACAGAGGTGATTTCTCCAGGAGGGAGGATACATCTGTTTTTTACAACCCTCCCTTGTTTTTCTTCAAAATTGGTTTTGGGGACTATTTTAAGGTCATGCGAAGGACTAAAGGATTTTGAGAACATGTAAAAGAAGAGAACAAGTCTGTCCCTACAGTTTCTTTACATCATATTAAATTCAACCCTTTGTTATTAAGGTCTGGCACAAATTTATGTAAAATATTTATTCTTCTTTGGGGGCGAAGATGGTGGGGATGTTATTCAAGGATTATTTTTTATTTACTTAACAAGTAATTAAAGAATGAAATATTGAAAAGGTGATTTAGTACACTATACACTACAGTACAACTTGCAAAGAATGAATATCTACATAAAGATAGATGATAGATAGATAGATAAATAGATAGATAATAGATAGATAGATAGATAGATAGATAGATAGATAGATAGATAGATAGATAGATAGATAGGCAGGCAGGCAGGCAGGCAGGCAGGCAGGCAGGCAGACAATTGATAGATAGATGATTGATGCACAGGTATGGAATAGGTGGTACCTGGCTCAATAGTAGTAACTGTGAGAGGGATCTTGGAATCCTAGTGGACAATCACTTAAATATGAGCCAGCAGTGTGCTGCAGCTGCCAAAAAAAATCCCAATGCAGTCCTAGGCTGCATTGACAGGACAGAATTAAGATCATGTGAGGTGTTAGTACCACTTTATAATACCTTGGTAAGACCACACTTGGAATATTGCATCCAGTTCTGGTCATCACAATATAAAAAAAGATGTTGAGACTCTAGAAGAAGAGCAACTAAGGGTGCATATGAAGAACAGCTACAGGAATTGGTTATATCTAATTCAATGAAAAGAAGGGTTAGGTGACATGATAGCAGTGTTCCAATATCTAAGGGACTGCCACAAAGAAGAGGGAGTCAAGCTCTTCTCCAAAATACCTGAAGCCAGAACAAGAAGCAGTGGATGGAAACTAATCAAGGACAGAACAAATTTAAAAATAAAGAGAAATTTCCTGACACAACAATTAATCAGTGGGACTTGCTTGCCTTCAGAAGTGAGTGCTCCATCACTGGAACTTTTTAACCACTTGTCTGAAATGGTATAGGGTCTCCTGGGTGAGCAGGGAGTTGGACTAGAAGACCTCCAAGGTCATTTCCAACTCTGTTATTCTGTTATGCTAGATAATACATTAAACCTGTATTACCTGTACTTATTAAATAAGTAAATACCTTGAATTTATTTTTTAAAAAATCTAATGTTTGTTATAGCAACAAGAGATTGAGTGGAAAGTATCTATTGTTAACCACAAAAAGATTTTCATAATGATTAGTAGAGTTTTCAATAGTCTTTACATAAAATGACATCAAATATTACTAGGTACTGTTTTCTCATATGAGGATCTTTTTTAGAAGTAGTGCTGAAAATATACTACAACAGTGTGTGCATTAGATCAATATTTAAAACAACTTTATAACAATTTTCACTCATTATTTTTGAATCTGAACAAATGAATGAAATGTTATTATTTCAGTCATCAATCACTAAGAAAATAATCTGAAAATTGTGCTTATAACTCATGGTGTATCTTGAACATTAGGCCAAAAACGGTATAGTACAATCTATCTGTGGTTGAGTGGAAATTGCCCTTCAAAAGATTTTTTTCCCTTTACTTTTATGTAGTTAATCAATTTTTATATCACTTTGAAATCTCTTCCTTGTGGTATGTGCTGTTAAGACAAAAACTCATTGTAATTATGAGCATACTTATTAAGTAGATAATGACATTAAGTCTTAAATTTTGCTAAGCAGTATCACTTATACCTCAATGAAAGTTAATTAACATTGTGAAGAGAACAGGCTGAGTTAGGATTGGTCAAATTTATTATCTTCTCCTAGTATATATGTGCAAGAATTTTTTTTGTACACTGCTTTTTTGTGTGTGTTAGGATTGAATGTATGCTTTTGTTTTATTTTTATTTTGCTTGTTTTACTGTTTTGTATTTTATTTTCTGATGCGGGTGAAGAAGGAGAGTGCAAAAGTTGGCTTGAAACTCAACATTAAGAAAACTAACATCATGGCTCCCAGCCCTCTCAATTCCTGGCAAATACATGGGGAAGAAATGGAGGTAGTGACAGATTGTATTTTCCTGGGCTCCAAGATCACCACGTATTGGGACTACAGCCAAGATATTAAAAGACACTTGTTCCTGGGAAGGAAAGCTATGGCAAAGTTAGACAGCATACTAAAAAGCAGAGAGGCTTTGGTTTTCCCAGTTACAATGTATGGCTGTGAAAGTTGGACCATAAGAAAGGCTGAGTGCCAAAGAATTGAAGCCTATGTTGCTGGAGAAGTTCCTTGGACTGCAAGGCAATCAAACCAGTCAATCCTAGAGGAGATCAACCCTGACTGCTCTTTAGAAGGCCAGATCCTGAAGATGAAACTGAAATACTTTGGCCCCTTAATGAGAAGGAAGGACTCACTGGAGAAGAGCCTAATGCTGGGAACGATTGAGGGCAACAGAAGAACGGAACGGTAGAGAATGAGGTGGTTGGATGGAGTTACTGAAGCAGTCGGTGTGAGCTTAAATGGTCTCCAGGGGATGGTAGAGGACAGGAAGGCCTGAAGGAAAGTTGTCCATGGGGTTGCGATAGTTCGGACATGACTTCGCAACTAACAACAACATTTTATTTTCTATGATAAAACAATATTATTTTTTTAAAAAGAATGATAACATTTTTTAAAGTGTGGTTGGATTCAGACTGATAATGTTTCCCACCCACCCTCAAATTGCCTGTAAACTATAGTAGCATAAAATGTTCTGACTTATTGCCAAAATCCTATCCTGCCACCATTGCAATGTTCCCGCTTGCTGTCAAATGATAGTATCTGAATGCATTGAGTTATTGTTTGCAGCTAAAGTTATTGATGAATTTGTTTTCATTCTTCTCATTCCCAGTCATGCTCAAACAGCAAGAAAAGATCTACACCAAGCAATGTAAGGATGAGGCAGGCTCTTCACTCTAGATTGTTTTTTTTTTTCTTCCTAGTGTTTTTCCACAAGTTCAGATTCTGTTTTTTTTTTTTTTCTTTCCGGATCAACCAAGTGATGATTTTACTCTAGCTCACATCACAAAATCAATATAAACCAGGTATTCTGCTTAATATATAGGCAGTCATTTTGAAAAGGGATGATTAAAGGAGCCTTCCAGCAAACAAAAATCAAAACCAAGAATTTCAGAACAGTGGGGATGTTTGTGATTATTTTTGTAGCATAAAATCAGTTGGAGCAGAAATGAGATAAATAGAAAAAGAATAGGCAAAATCTACTGATGGTCCTGGTACTGGGAAAAATTAAGAGAGGAAGAAGGGACAAATAGTGTGTTCAGCTGGCTTCAGCTCTGCTTCAGACTGTAGACCCTCTAAGTTCTTTCTATTTAATGTCATATTTGTGGAATGAATTAAGGCGGTCATTCTTCCCCAACAAGCAAGTGACAAACAGAACTGTGACTTAGGGTTGGCAGGACAGACAGATACTTAGTCCTACCTTTCATCTGCAGTAGGGGTGGGTTCTACTTACCTTTACTACAGATTTGCAATGGGAGCGCATGCGCGCATGCTTCTGTACATGCGCAAATCACCCATGATAACGTCGTGGCAGGTGGGCGGGGCCTCCCGTTGGTTTTACTACTGGTTCCATAGAATTGGATAGAACCAGGAGCAAACTATCACTGAACTGCAGCCTTAGGAAGTGATTAAGCAGGAAGGTACCCAGAGGTTGGAGAGATATGGAGTTTTGCTCAATGTGTTTGTCCAGCCGGACTTGGATGCTCAGACAGATGTCTTCGGTCTAAGGCTAAACCCAGCCATCTCCTCACCACAAAACACACACATAAATTCAAAGGGCAGACTTGATGGACCATTGGATCTTTTTTCTGCTGACAGTTTTCTATGTTTCTATATACAGACTTGTTAAGGAATAATCAACAAAATGCATTATTTTTTGTTACTGAAATAGAGACCCACTTAATTTACTCTGTTTGTTATGCTGTTGATTATGTAGACTTTCTTCTTTGTCATTTTGATTTTTTTAAATTAGTGAATAATCTCTAAAATACAATCAAATTCAAAACCAGAGAAGTGTCAGGTCTAAAACCTACCTGAAAAATTCCATGAAAGAAAAGCCATAGCCATGCTGTTCTGCAATGCCTGCACAAACGACATTTGCAGAGGCTCCAATCAATGTCCCATTACCTGAAATTCAATAAATAACAAGTAAAAAAAACCCAGCAGATATTTGGGGGGGGGTCTTTATCTATGGATTTTGCCATTCAGATCAACGTGTAGCCTAAATGTAAATGGGGAAAGGAGAGGCATCATTTCACATTCACCTGAAAAGAAATTGACAGAACAATAACTTCTCTGCCTATAAACAGTTGCACCTTTTCAAAGGAAGCCTGTCTTTGTGCTCCTATTGTGAATGAGACAAGAGACAGGGAGACAAAGAAAAACTATGTCACTGTGTTGTTAAGATGACACATTCAAAGCAATTTGCTGATTATTTCTTTCAAATTCAAAAAAGTAACATTAAGATAAAATGAAAAGATTGAAAAAGACATCATTTTTTGTCTATTGACAGGTGGAACAATGGAAACAGAGGGGGGTCCTCCATTTCCCCAGAAAGTTATGTAACAGTAGCACAATGTGTATCTTTAAAATATAAGATACCTATTGTATCTTATACAATGACTTTTAAACCTACAAACACACATGTGGGTACACATATGCACAGAAATCAAGAATTTCTCCTTCTGCCACAAAATGAAAGAATGCTGAAAATTTAACAGGATGCAATGTTTATCTCTATAGTTTCCTTCCTTTCTTGGGTTAAGGACCTTCTCTTGAAAAAAAATGCATACATGTAAAATCACGGAATTTATAAAGGAGTTTTTAAATATGCAATACGTTAAAGATACATTTCTAAATTGGTAAAAAATAACAGTTTTCAATCTCTAAACTTCTGATGAGCTGTATCTAGATGTTATTTCATTTTTTTATAATAGATTGCAGTAGACTGAGCAAAATGTAATCTGAATTAAGGGGCATGCCATGATTTTGAGAAGAACAGAGAATATAATAAATTTACAGAGGTGTCTGTTGTGATGTATGCAAAAAGAGTGAGGCTTCATGGTGTGGCCATCATTTTGACTTTTAGACACCCTCCCTGTAGACACCACTGGAAACCTGGGAATTGTGGCATAAAATACAGTAAAAGCCTAGAGAGGGAAGCTGTGGCAATGTTTTCTAACATGGAGAAACAGTGTGTGAACACAGAGATAAGCAATGGATTATCCATGGCAAACTATAACTGTGATAAGTCTGTGACAATTTCAGAATGGGATTAGTCCCAACAGTAACTGAAAATCAATTACTGTACATGCAATTTGGTTTGGTTTTTCCATTCTGTTGTCACTGAGCAGAATTTGAGTGTTCTTCCTCTACAAACTGGAAAAAAGACACCTTAGAGCATTCTCTCCATTGTTTACTTAAGAAATTGAGAGACTCATTGAAGTAGAAAAACATTAGGTGTTTTGCACAAGGAAAGTCTGTGCAGTTCAGAATGTCAACATGGATTTTGTGTGCATATGTGAATAAGTCATTATATGATAGTGCTGAAGCTGTCAGAGATCTATGACCGTGACTTTAAAAATGAAGCAAAAGACTGCGTTCTTCAAATGTTAATTTCATCCCAGTTTTCACACTGAGCATAACTATATCTGAACAGAAGGAAAGCATACTTATTTTGGACCATCCTTAAATCCTAGATTGAACCCTATTGCATTCCTCCCCCCAAAAAAATCACAAATTCACTTCTTTTTAATATGTGCAGGCTTCAATCACCCATTCACACACCCCAGTTTGAAATCTTTGGATTTCTCTTCCAGTGTTTTGAAATTATTCTCTAATTTTATTTCTCTGGGATCATTTGCTAAAGCCACTAACTGATCAAATGAACTTTACTTGACTGGGAATGGGGGCTACAGCTGCAGATTCTGTTGTATTAACCAATCAAAGGCAGGAAAACACCTTTATACACTATTTCTTATACTTGACTTCAAATTTGTCAGACAATGGGGAAAAGAACCAGAACTTTCCAGGCACAGAAACACACATTATTCCACTCCAAACTTCAGTGATATTTCTTATTACAGTGTTTTTCCAGTAAATAGTTTTCACTGATTTCTATGCAGTGGCCTTAGTTTAACAAACCATACAATCATATGCTCTTACATGCAGCTTTATAAAAGTCTACTTCCCTTATTCAAAATGGCATTCCTTATACTACTTGCTCACTTGGTTGGAGAGCTAATTTCACTTTTAAGTCTGTTTTTAGACTAGAGAGGAGGAGTGAAAGAGAGGACAACCATTATTCCTGAGCATTTTAGAATTCCAGAACTTTGATCAATCTTGCCTGAGTGGCTCCTGTTCCTTCCAAATGTTTCACTGGTTTCCACAAGTTCCCACATTCTGCAGATCTCTCTTTCTGACCTTGCCTGCTCTTCCTGTTATATATATATCACTATAAGGCAGATGTGCCTGGTCACAGGTGTCTTAATTAGACAATAAGATTATCAATGTCTACATGACTCTATGTATGGACATAGCACATAAACAAACAAGAAAACCATAACACTAATTTGTTACATTCATGTTCACCAGGGTATCAAATCCTAGTTATAATGCTGAGTTCATGATGGCTTTCGCTGATTTCTTTAATACTTAAAGTACCACACATTTCTTGAGAGTTTATTAATACTATTGTACCTATTTAGGTACTAATAAAAAGAACATCAATGGGGTAACACAATTCAATGACTAGGGACAATAAATACAGTGGGAACAGTTTGATGGAGAAGAATAGGATTCTATACACAAGCGTGTATCTTTAACCCTAAGTTAGCTGGTCCCCATCAAGTATAATAGGAGCAGTTCGTCAATTGTTGGTAGTTGCCTTAAGATTACCATTATGTTTGCCCAGGGAATTGGGGAGAAGTATTCACTTCTATACCATTCTGTTCCAAATGACTTGTGTTAACAATGATAACAGTTCAACGGTTCAGCTGTTATCATTGTTAACACAAGTCATTTGGAATGGAATGGTATACTATACCACAAATAACTTGTGCTAACAATGATAATAGTTCAAAATCAATTCAATACAAACTTAGTGTTTTTTTAAAACAAATAATCATAATCTTCTGTCCCACAAGGAAGATGTAAAAAGTTAAGCAAATGCAAATTCCCTCTGAAATAGTATTCAATCAAGTTTTCAAAGCTTTCTGAAGAATAGCAAAGTAGGGGCAGTCTGAACATCAGAAGAAATTATTCCAAAAGGTTGAAATAATGACCAAGAAGACCAGTTTCTCCCGTAGACCTCTCAGACAGAAGAAATCCAAAGTACTCCCTATTAAGCTGAATACACAAAATGGACAAATTCACTTTGTGAGAAATTTCCCACTGTTGGAGTAATTTGCACCAGTTCTGCAGATTTATCATAACATAAACAATGTTGCCTTCATCTTTTGTCTATGGAGACATTTGGTCCTTCTGATTTCATTTCTTGGTCAAGGTATGTTAACAAAGGGCAACTATTCTTTGCTGAAATTGAACATCATTAGAAAATGCACCACAGTGCTGATTTTTATTGAGGCCAAAACAGAAACAGGAAAGTTTCTTACAGGAAATCCATTGGGGTGGCTAAGTAATATGGCAACAATAGCTATCATTTTGAATTCTTTAATATCTCTCTGTAAATCTCCTTCTTTAGTCTAGCAAGTTGTCATTGTTACAGCTTCTGCACAACCACTATTTGTAGAACAGCATAAAGATACATTAAAGAAATAACAGTTATAAGTTAAATATTGTTTTTATAAATTTCAGATAAGCCTGGTCCTTTGTGGAATTGCTTGGTTCACTAGTAACATTTGATGAAAGATAAATCTACACACTGAAATCTCACCAGTTAAACACTGAGATGTAATCTATCTAACAGAACACATTTTCAGAGGATTAAATTTAATTACAAAGTTACCGCTTCTTAATAATATTTTTTATTGTAGTTTAAAAATAAAAGATAAAAAAACTAATGCAAATTAGGTAAAATACAAAAAGAAAAGAAAAAACATAAAAAGTGCAAGAAGAAATAGAAATGAGGGTAATGGAAGAAAAATATGAGAAAAGGATATGTATGTATGTCATGTGTATGTATGTGTGTGTATATATGTGTGTGTGTGTGTGTGTGTGTGTGTGTGTATACCCACACACATATAATTTGTCCCTTCTGTTTTTAATTTCAATAACATATCACCTTTTCTAACATTTTAACCTAAAATGTCTTCATTCCATATCTCGTCTTTTATCTATTAATAATAAAGCCTTATTATTGAGTCTTAATCAGCAAAACTAATTCTGTTTTCACTTTATCATTATGGGGTACTGAGTGTAGATTAATGAGAAAAAATGAATTTCAACAACTGTAGAATCAGGCTGCAGCATAACAAAATTGACAAAAGTGAAGGAGGTCTGAATACTTTCTGAATGCACTGTATAGAAATTTAATCTCTTCACAAATTTAACACTTTCCTTCAATTTTAATACCATAGTTTATGACTTTTCAATTTATTTTAAAATAAATAAATAAATGTGTTTATTTAAATTATTTAAATCTGTTGATTTAACAGGAAAAACTAGCTTCTTCCCATATCATATCTATAAACAAATCTTTAAAGCCTCAATATTCAACAACAGGAAGAGCCGTGGTGGTACAGTGGTTAGAATGCAGTACTACGGGCTATTTCTGACTGCCAGCTGCCAGCAATTTGGCAGTTCAATTCTCACCAGCTCAAGGTTGACTCAGCCTTCAATCCTTCCGAGGTTGATAAAATGAGGACCCAGATTGTTGGGGAAAATATGCAGACTCTGTGACCCACTTAGAGAGGAATGTAAAGCACTATGAAGTGGTATATAAGTCTAAGTGCTATTGCTAAGTGCTTTTGCCATTCAGTCCCAGTCAAGAAAAACCCATTTAAAGATGCTGGGTGAGAGGAAAAAACATTGTATACGTTATGATCTTAGTCAAATAAGTGAGTCTTATAAATCTTATTTTTACTTTTGAATGTCTTTATGTTTATTCCTTTTAAATATTATCTCAGAAGCCAATTTCTTTTTATTCTGTCTTTATCATTTTCTATGTAGCAGGGGGGAGAAAGGAATAAAAGGGGGTTTTGGCAGGAAGGGGAAGAGACAGAGGAAGTGCAAGAGGAGGAAGGAGAGGCTTGGCTGGAAAAAAAGGAAAAAAAGTGGGAATGTAAGGATAGGAAGGGATGTCTGGGGCAAAGGAGGCCTAAAGGGATAGGATAACAGAGGCTTCTGATATCTGAGGGAAATAAGGGGATACGCTAGGAGAGGTATCTGGGAGGCAAGCCTAAGGAAGAGAAGGGGAGAGGAGAGGAGAGGCTTCTGAGAGGCAAACCTGAGGAAGAAAAGAGTTTGAATGAAAGGATGTAAGCAGAGGAAACAACAAAGGAGCAGAGGCTGTGGAAGGAGAGCCCAGCAGGCAGTTCAAGAGAGAGTGAAGAGAGAGAAAGAGAAAGAAGGTCCAACCAGCCACCTGAATACCACCCCATCATGTGACCCGCCTGCTGAGAGGAGGCTGACCACCACCCCATCAAGTGACCCTGGCAAGTAGAGGTGCATCAGAGAGGGACCAGTGTGGACTGGCAGCCATATGAAGAGGGCCACACTGGAGTGTGGACTCCAGTGACCCTTACAAGGATTAGCGTTACATCTATCTTTTCACAAAATAGTAAGATCAGAATGCCTTTTCAGGATTTTGAGAATGAGAGAAAGAGTAGACTCTTCCCAAAAATTGCAGAATCAATACTTCTTATCAGATATTAAACATATCAAAGGATGTTTTAAGTTTTGCAAATTTAGAGAGAACTAATTTCTGCCACAAACGAAATTGAGATAAAATAACTCAGTACAGAATTTTCCTATCCACATGCAATTTTCAACTTTGGAACTTTCCAGCATAAAAGATTAGATTCAGTGCATGTCTAATGACAAATCAGAGATTAGAAAGACAGCCTTTCAGAACACTAAAATGGAAAATGTAAATTGACATTTCAAGACCAATACAGTACCAAAGACAGAAAAAGAGGGGACTAAAGAGGAAAAAAATTTAGTAAGTATTTCTTATAAATCAACATTTTATTATGGTCATTAATCATTCCAAGTAAGACTGCAAAGTAAATAACCATTTTCAGAAATGGAATTTACTAGTCTTGAAAAGAAAAAAAATGGCTAGGTTAAGAGAAATAATAAAAAGGAAATATAAAATATGTCAGAGCTACCTGGCCTGTGAGTCAAAAATAGAAATGACATGAATCAATCAAATATCTTAACAAAATGGTCACCACAATAAGACATGCGTCAGAGATTCAGCTTCTCTTGAATCACAAAGGCAGAGCCAGTCTCCCATAGGGATATTATTAATTTTACCTTCCAAGAGTAAAATATAAGGAAGCCAGAATTTAAAGACCTTATTTTTCCTTGAAGTGGTTGGGTTGTGTAAGATAGCAGGCTAGTTGAAAAAGGTTCAAAAGTTCTCTGGGGGTACTGATCACTTAGCCAGATCATGTTGATGCTCACAATCTAAAGTTGTTAATCCAATAACAGACTTGGCTTTTTAAAAACCTACAGATGATAAGGCATTAAAACAAAATCCAGATGAGGCCAATTTGGTTTCTAGATTTCAGTGCCAAGGAGACTGAAAATTGTCAATCACAGGGATAGGTTCTAAGCCTACTAGGAAGAAATTTAATTGAAGCCAAAATTAATCAGTAAAATCCAGGCCTTGGCTTCAACCTTAATCAGCCTGCTTCTGAACATAGTAATGCTATTGAGAAGACAGCCTGAAGGAAGTCTGGTCAAACTGTTTGCAGCTTAATCAGAAACCTGGTCCTGAGACCCATAAAGCAATTAGCTCCAACTTTAAGCAGCAAAGATTTTGACATCTACTAGAATATCTAAATTCATACTGAAAAAGTTGAAAATAGCTACTTCACTTATCAGAGCGTTATCAGTGGCAAGCTATTTATTTATTTTTTTTGCCCCAAGGCCTAGTTGCTGAAACACTCTTCCTACGTATTTAAAACATGATATTTAGTCTATAATGTTGCCATCTGTTCATCTTTTATCTTTTGGTAAACACCATTTTGATCTTGATGTATCTTTCCAAAATTGCTCACAACAAGATGCAAGAAAACAGGGAAAAAATATTAACTACCTCAAAATATGAAGATAGCAGCTAGATAAATTCTTAAAGAAGCAACTGAAAATCTTTGAGACTCAAATCCCAAGAGGAAACTTTAATTCTTTAGAAGTTATGCATGAAGAAGGAGCAATGTCCAAGTAATCAGGAAAAAATAGGATCTGGTCCATTCCACTACAAAAGTCTTCTATATGAATGATTTTTAGATACTCACAAAATTTAACATTCTTTTGCAAAAAAAAAAAAAAGAGTCAATCTATCTTCTGCAAGAAATTGACAAACTTCAGTGCTACCCTATGTATGGTAAAGCAGATTCAATGAGTCAACAACAACCAATAGGTCTCTTTCTGGAAAATGGCCATTTTAAACAGCCTAACAAATCTCTGGAATTAAATTAAAAGAGATATCATAAATCAATTCACTCATGATCAAAACTGTAGACATATCCATAATCTTTTATCAAGGTGTCAAGCATTACACAAAAATAGCAAGTTCCAATAAAAAGTTTGGTACCAGAATTACAAAGATAAAAAACAAGCCTTCCTGAAGGAAAATGGGTGATCTAGAAACATGAAATATAAGTAAATAAATAATTCCAAGTGTCTAAGTTCGCATTATAGCAGTAGCAATAGCACTTAGACTTACTCTTACTCTTACAGCACTCTTTAAGCAGTTTACAGAGTTAGCCTATTACCCACAACAATCTGGGTCCTCATTTTATTGACCTCGGAAGGATGGAAGACTGAGTCAATCTTGAGCTGGTCAGAATCGAACTCCTGGCAGTCAGCAGAATTAGCCTGTAATATTGCATTCTAACTACCACTGTCAATAAGAGATTATCAATATCAAGGATAGACTATTAAGCTCATTGTTTCATCAAGGCTTTAAACTGCTTAAATACTTTTCTCTGTAATTCCCACCAACTCTTGCTTAGGTTCTGTAGCCATGATTTTGTTGAATTCTGATGCTGCAAAGCTTCAGGACCATTATCAGCTTCCTTTGATAAGCAATCAATTATTGAGCTAACTTCTGGCTCTCTACAAGTTGGTTTTAGTCTACTTAGGCTGCAAATTCTTTTCTTTTGTTCAGATCATAATTCTTAGCATCAGAGTAAAGAAGTATTAGCAGAGAGACATAAACCTTCTGCTTCTGAAATACTAGATTCCGTGGACTGGTTTCCTTGGCTGAAGATGACTGACTGAGTCCTGATTAGATCCTATTTTAGAGATCAATGAAAAGGGAGGAATACTGAATATGAAAATGAAGGAATTACTATCATGAGCTTCTGCAGGAGGACTGTGGAGACCAAATGATAACACATGCATCATCATTATGCATGTCCCACAATTTAGATATTTGTATTAAATATTATAATGCAATATGTGATTGCAGCATCAAGAGCATCACCATTTTTGTCCTTGTGGCTTGTTACAGACATCACTGATCTCTAGGACCAGTCAGCTTGGAAAGCATCTTCCTCATTCTCACAACAGAGTTCCTTTCTCTTCCCAAAAAGAGATCTAAAAACACATTGGTGAAATTATGAGGGGGGGGGAATCTAAATATCCACTCAGATATTGTTCCAGCATGCAAGATGCATATAATCAGTGGTCTCACAATGTACTAGTCCAATTTTTCAAGAATGAGGTGTAGAGGTAAACTTAGCTTGGTTCCATTTTATGACACCGAATCATAAATATCATAGACCAATGTTCTGGTTAATGAATCAAAACTATAACCATATCTATAATCACCTCAAATGTGGACAGACCTGGTTGCAAACTGAACAGTGCTGAAAAAGACATTGTAGATGACTGTTCCAATGATGGTAATGATACATGGTCAAAACCACTTTAATACATATAATTATGACAGCTGGATAAAGTATGGTGTTTGAACGATGGCGGTGCTAGTGATGATGTCTACCAGCTCCTAGTAGACAAGAATATTCATTTATGTTGTATCATAAGATGACTGAGAAATAACTCTGTACTATGGTGAGGAATGCAAGGAAGAAAAACACTGTGAATATCCAATCAATTGGCCCCAGGCAATTTTGAGCAGAAAAGATATTAGAGATGATGCCGATGACAATTACCCAGTTAAGAATACTGAAATAATAGTTGCTTGTAATAACTGTTGTGTTGCATCTGAGAAAGAGATTGAAATAGGAGAAGATAGCCATAAGTTAGCAGATACTACCTAAGGGACTATCTGCATTCAAGAGGCAAATGTTCCAGATTGTACTCTTCAGAAACAGAACTAATGAGATGGCTTGCAATACTTGAGAATATTATCTACAATATCAGGATGAGAGTGGCCAATATAGATGGAAATTGTAGAATGATACTATCATTAATACCATCACTAATACCATCAATAGCCAGACCAGTGAAATCAAGCATGAAGTCAATTTCAGTCCCACTTTCTAAAGAATTACTATTTCTTTGAGGATATAAAAATACTGATTGCATGTGCTAACAGGATATATTTTTAAAAAACGAATATTTTTAAATGTGCAATTTGATTAGTTATGGATCACATTTTAGTTAACTACAAAGGTGTTTAATCTGACTGAGAAATTAAAAATCACAACCCTAAATTTAGTATGTTGCTTTAGCTCTCACTGATAATATATATTTCTTCAAACTATTATTATCACTGCTTACCTCCAAGACAGGCACCTATGGCTAATGCAAAGATCAGTGGTTTTACAGGTAAGTTAACCTCAGGATCTTGACTTAGATTGAGAAGTACAGGAATCTACAAAAGGTACATTAAAATAATAAATAGTAAGAGAAACAATAAGATTAAGATTAAAGATAATAACCAGTTACATTGAAAAATAAGAAACTTAATTTTTAACTTCTTTTAAAGGTGCTTGGTACAATTATCCTGGGATGAGGTGAGAGCTCATGTAAGTGCCCTTCATCTAAGTGCTTTATGGATGAAAAGTAGCATAAAGGGAAAGGCTATTCTAGAATTTCCCTTGAGAACTGCAGGGGCTTTTAAAAATAATCCCACCAAAACCACAAAAGCACACAAAATATTAGATCCAAAGATTGATCAACCTGGGTTTTTGCCAAAAAAGTAATTAAGGGACAATGTGAGAATTATTTGAATGTCACTGAGTATTTACAGTACCACAAGGAGAAACAAACAGAGCAGATATATTTTTGCACAAAGAGAAAGTTCGACAACTTAAATTGTTTTAAGTTTTGGAAAATATGGATTTTGGGAAGAAATTTATTCAAGGGATTAAGTCTGTTTATGCAACTCAGCAAACTGACATCATCGTCAATGGAGGTTTGATTAAAACATGAGAGAGATATAAAAGGGTATAAGGGAAGGGTGCCCTTTATTTTTTTATTTTAGTCAAAGTTTTGACTAAATATATTAGACAAGATGAGAAAATATCACATCTGAAATTTTTTTAAAAGAAATGTATTAATTAAGCCTTTGCTGATGAGTTTGTGTGTATGTGTAGTAGTTTTCTTCAGTGACAGATGATGACTGAATGGTTTTGATCTAAAGATGTTCTACAGTGTATTTCATTCTAGATAACCCCACCCCACCCCTTTATCCCTTTTGACTTTTATCTCTTATTTCTGCCCGACAAAAGACAGAATGAATGGAGGGCATACATTGTAAGGTGTTGGAAATAACAATTTTAATTCTTTGTAATATATATATATATATATATTACAAAGAATTAAAATTGTTATTTCCAACACCTTACAATGTATGCCCCTACTCCTAACCAGAATGTTAAAGAATATATATATATGTATATATATATGTGTGTGTGTATGTGTATATATATATATTCTTTAACATTCTGGTTAGGAGTAGACATAAAGAAATTTCATAATTATTGTTATAGCTGATTGAATATAACATTTTTAGGTCATAGTAATAAAACTGAAAAATCTTAACAGATGGCTCACAGTTGGCAGCATATACTGTAGTGGCAGTTTATTGAAATAAATGTGTAGAAAATAAGGTTTTCCCAAATAACACTCTGAAGGTAGAACCTCTCAATGATTCTATCATTTAAAAAAGAGAGAGAGAGAGCATCAAGGTGTTCCAGAATGTAAAGGTCACCACTGGGATGACATGTGGTCACTTCACTCTCCTCACCTCATGTGTGATAGGGACTCTTCCCTTCAAGAATGCACATGCCAATTCTATGGCTATCTTCAAAAAGGGAAAATAGAAGAACCAAAAGGGTTGCAGAGGGTGATCAATATCTGAAAAGATTCTTGATCAAATAAACATAGCTTCATTTCTAAGCACTTGAAAAGTGATGGATTTATTAGCCTGGATTTGTTAAAAGGAAATCTTGTTAGACTAATCTCATTTTATTTCTTTTAACTGTTAACTTTTTTTAATGGAGTATGGGAATTGCTATGGTAACTTTCACACCTCAGAGCATTAATGTAAGAGTCCCCCTGGCAATAAAGTAATGGGAAAGGTGGAAATTACTTTAATAAATTAATATCTGAAAGTACCGAAGAAAAATGTATAGTGATCTAAACATCTAGTGACATGCAGTTACTCTACACTGTATCCCTAACAGAAGGATGCAAAGACATAGGACTTACCATTGTAGCAGTGAATGGAATATTGTCAATTAGAGATGATGCCAATGCAGAGACCCACAGAATTAAAATAATAGCAACTGTCAAGCGTTGTTCTTCAGGGACTACCTGGCAGACAGGCAGGACAGAAAGGAAGGATTAAATAGATGGCCTTTTTCATGAAAGCAATTATTTTGCAAATAAGATTGTCATCGATTTATCCTGCTATAACTCATATTAAAATTCTGCAGATTTGTATATAACTCAATGTTAGATAGGTCAACTTTATTACGTCTTTGAGCAGTGTAGTAATTTTAAATGTTTTGTTTTAAAAACTCAAAAATGTACATTAAAAATAGCAAAATTACCTGATTCAGTAGAAATAAGAAAAAGACACAGAAATATAAAATTACATAGAAATGATATTCTATGTTCCAGCTGTATGCCAAATAGTTTTGGGAGCAAAAAATTAGTCCAAAATTTACAGGGCCCTTTTCCCAGTTATAGCAATAGCACTTAGACTTATATACCCCTTCACAGTGCGTTACAGCCCTCTCTAAGCAGTTTACAGAGTCAGCATATTGCCCCCAACAATTGGGTCCTCATTTTACCCACCTCAGAAGGATGGAAGGCTGAATCCACCTTGAGCCTGGTGAGATTTGAACTGCCAAATTGCAGGCAGCCAGCAGCAGAGGTGCTATTCAGCAGGTTCTGACAGGTTCTGGAGAACCAGTAGCGGAAACTTTGAGTAGTTTGGAGAACTGGCAAATACCACCTCTGGCTGGCCCCAGAGTGGGGTGGGAATGGAGATTTTGCAATATCCTTCCCCCAGGAGTGGAGAGGGACTGGGGATTTTGCAGTATCCTTCCCCTGGAGTGGGGTGGGAGTGGAGATTTTGCAGTATCCTTCCCCTGCCATGCCCACCAGGCCACGCCCACCAAGCCACGCCCACAGAACCTGTAGTAAAAAAAATTGAATTCCACCACTGGCCGGCAGGCAGCAGAAGTAGCCTGCAGTACTGCACTCTAATCACTGCGCCACCGCAGCTCAAAATATAGTTTTTTATTATATCAACCAACTTAATGGCTAGTTATATAATGTACAATATATATATGCAATAATATACTTAAACATATCAAGAACCATCTTTATTTTTTAAAAAAAATTGCTCTGAGATTCCTAATAAGCCGCATAGCTGTTCTTGGAACATCAAAATCAGAGGTGGGGGGGAGGAGCCTGTGGCCAAGGGCTTGATTTATAATTGTGACTATCTGCCTCCTCCCTCAAAAAACAAAAATCAGCCACTCTTCAAGGGAATCATTATGATCGGTAAAGAAGCAAAATTACCATTTTTTTTTCTTTTAAACTGCTATTCTGCAGCTGTTGAGTACTGTTGCAGCTACTTTGTGAATTATTTTTCATAAGTTTTTAAACACTCATGATGTGTTTTCTGCATCAAATATATTCACAGGTCCAAAGGATTGGAAGAGGCTCTCGTACAACCAAGGGTCTAAATTTGATTCCCTTTCCCGACGGTAACAGTAGCCTGAGAATAATAATATCCAAATCCAATATTGGAGCTTAAAAAAAAAATAATCCCTGATTCCCAAGTTCCACCTTCTAACAATTCATCTAAGAGGAAAAACACCAGGATTTCACTGCATGGCTTGCCTTTGAATCTAGGACTGTATCTCTGTCAGCAGAACATAATCATTAATTTAATACCATAACTATGAAAAATATAACTTATCCCTTCTAAATTTAAAAAACGTATTGTAAACTATACCTTTATCAACAAAGCTGTTTGTTCTCCTATGTATTCTATTAAATGAAGATGAGCCAAAGCCTATTTTTTTATTTTTAAAAAAAGAAAAGAAAGAAAGAAATGAAGTAAATTCAGCAAATAAAATATGCATTCTAAATTATTAGGCAAAATTGCCCACTTCCAAGAAATGATTAATCCAACAAAAACACTGGTTACATATCTAACAAAAGTTAGTAAACTGGAACCTGGGTTCTCTCCCTCTCCCCCCAGTAATTAAAACAAACATTTGTTTTTTCCCTCAAGAAAGACTGGTGTAATTTTTCAGTTAATATGGATTCTCAAGCAGATGTTTAATGCTCAGAACTATTTATAGGAATTTAGGAATTATTATATTCTAGCCATGTTAAGAAGACTGAGGTCAGTAGCAAAGAATAATTTTTTTTATACCAAATGCTCTAGTTTTATTGCCTTGAACAAAAGCCTAGAAAACAAATTCCATGGAATGTAGACAGTTGTTGATGAGATGGACCAACATTAGGTAATATGTAAGTACTGAATTAAAATTGCAAAAACAAATTAGAAAAGGATTATTTAGAGCTAGCTGACTGAAATTCTGCACAGCCTGAGAATGTTCTAAGAGGAATTTTCCAGGAAGGTAGATGAAGATCTGATTATGATCATCATACATTATAAATGGCTGATATATAATCAAAAGGAGGATGTCGTTGACTATGACCCTGTATGTTTACATGTTGAAAATGGCAGATGAATAAAGTACAAAGTCTTCTCATAAGCTTCATCTAAGTGCAAACATTTCATAAGTCTCAGCACTGGAACTGTTTCATAGAAGCCTCTATAAATTCTTTCAGACATTCCCACTCAAAATTCTACCAACAGGTGAGGATGAAGAGACATGCTATAAGTAATGTTGATCACTAACTTAGCTGGCTCCAAAAACAGTTGGACCAATTCATAAAAGGCATGGGAATCAATGGCTATTAGCCTTGTTGGCAAAATGGCTGCCTTTGAAAGTCATCTGCTGGGAGATTAGTGACTTCCTTAAATTGGTCAACCATTGCGAGAACAGATTGTGGGACTAAATGGGGGCTAGTCCAGAGGGCTCTGTTTACAACATTCTTGTCCTGGGATATGGAAGTCACACAGTCAAAACAGTCAAAAAATGTTCATGACACTCAGTCCTGGCTTGAAACTATATATAAATATATTTTACAAAGAAATCTGGTTACAATGAGTCATATATTCAGTCAAGTGAACAGAATATATGTTTAATAATATCTGACTAATGCAGAATAAGAAGATTCTTGCTGTCACTCTCTTTTCATCCTATGAGGCAAGTCTATCCTAGAATTTTGAATTAAAAACTTTATTTACAGTAAGATTAAGTCCTTAATAATCTCTGAACTTAATTGTTTGCTTCCAAATGTTTCATTACCCAACTAGGTAGCATCATCACTCCTCAGTTCAACCCTGAGCTATATATATTCTTTTCTATTGAAACAGTAAGACCCAAAACAGCTGAACTGAGGTCTAAATAAATGAGAAATGAGACTGTTTAAATGGCTTAATCCAGGAAGTAATAAAGTCCAGAACACCTTTTAGCATTTATTACTACCATCCCAATTTATATTGTCTCCATACAGGCTATTCATTCACAATATGTAACCCAGCTACAAAAAATTATACAGATTAGTAGACTTGACATTATGTTAGAACATGCTACTCTGTAAATCACCCTTAATCAAAAGATAGTAATGCAAAATTTTATTCCTATTTAAATTTAAATTTCAACTTTCACAAATCAGATCCCCTGAAGCAAATACATTGCTTTACTGCTCGGACTCTTAATATTTTTAACAGAAAACCGCATGCAGTTCTAATTCTGAAACTACGATATTTTAGACAGTTCTGCTTGATCAAATCTGTTTCTTGAAGTATTGTGAAAAATTAAACTATATTTTACTTATAACTTCCCTGCCTTGGCCTGATTCAAGAGGAACTATATTCTCTCCAGTTTTTGTTTTTGTTTTTTTATTGGAAAAGTTTTACAAATACAAATTTTCCCATTCCCCCCCCCCCGCTTTCCCTCCCTAACCCTCCCTAACCCTCCCCTCCTCCCATGACTTCCCCAAGGTGAAATCCAAATCCAAATCATATGTTATCATACTTTACCGCCCTTCTATTCTCCCCCCTGTATACTATACATTTCTACATGACATTGAACTATTCTACCCCCTATATACTATACATTTCTACGCAACATTCAACTAAAAGCTATCTGGTACTTCCTAGTTTGGTATTTATTCTGCACATAATCTATCCATTTCTTCCACTCCCATACATAGGTCTCTTGAGTCCGGTCTTTTAAGTATGCTGATATCTTCGCCATTTCTGCAAAACTGGCCACCTTCAAAGTCCATTCTTCAATAGTAGGCATAACATCCCTTTTCCAATATTGACCAATCAGCAACCTAGCTGCTGTCACCATATACAATATTAATTTTGTTTCACCCTTTGAAAAGCCCTTAACTATGCCCAATAAAAACAATTGAGGAGAGAATTGGAGTTTTTTCTTCAAAACATTTTGCATAACCCACCAAATTTTTATCCAGAAAGCCTTCACTTTTTTGCAAGTCCACCATATATGATAATATGTAGCATCCAAACAATCACATCTCCAACATTTTGGTTGAACATTAGGATACATGCATGACAATTTCTTAGGATCTAAATGCCACCTATAAAACATTTTATAAAAATTTTCCCTCAAGTTCTATGACTGCGTAAATTTAACATTCTGAACCCATATTTTTTCCCACGTTTCCATCATAACTGGTTCTGTAAAATTTTGCGCCCATTTTATCATACAATCTTTAACCAATTCATTTTCTGAGTCTCTTTCTAACAAAACATTATAAACCCTCTTGATGTGCATTGGACCTTTCTCTTTTATCTGTCTAACCAGTTCTTCTTCATGCAACATTAAACCAGTTTTTTGATCTTCTCTCCATCTCAGTTGAAGTTGATTATACTGTAACCAAATTAAATTAATCCCTTCTTCCAACAGTGTGTTTAATGTCTTTAGTTGCCATCTGCCCCCATCATTAAAAAGTACTTCTTTGTATAAAACCCCCCCGAGTGACTTTATATTTATATTCTGTATAATATGACCAAGATCCAACCACAACGGAATTTTGTAATCCCATTTGAACTGGTGCTTCTTCCATACTCTCATCAAGGAGTTTCTAAGCATATGGCTGTTGAATACTTTATCCACTTTATTTTCATAAAGTAAATATGCATGCCAACCAAATTCAAGATCATAACTCTCTATATTCAATATTCCAGTCTTTGTCCTTCCAAACCAATCACTTGCTTGTGTCAACGCTGCTGCTTCATAGTACAGTCATAAGTTTGGAAGTTTAAGACCACGTGAAAGACCTTTCACGAACATCTTGCATAATTTTCAATTTAACTCTTGGCTTTTTCTCATTCCAAATAAACTTATTCACTCCTTTTTGCCATTCCATCAGCTGTTTATCACTTTTAAGCACCGGAATCATTTGAAACAAAAATAAAAATCTAGGTAGAACATTCATTTTAACTGCTGCTATTCTTCCAAGTAAAGACAGCTGCAGTTTTTTCCAGGTTTCCATGTCCTTTTGTACCTTTTGCCACAACACCTCATAATTGTTTTGGAACAGTTTTATATTTGAATCTGCAACTTGAACTCCTAGATATCTCACCTTTGATACTATTTCAAAGCCTGCCTTCCTTTCAAGTTCCTTCTTTTGATCTTCTGTCATATTTTTAACTATCATCTTGGTTTTTTTCTGATTCAGTCTAAATCCTGATACCATACCATATTCTTCTATAATGTCTTTCATCTGAATTATTGATTCCATCGGCCATGCTAGGGTAACAACCAGATCGTCTGCAAATGCCCTTGTTCTGTAATCCTCTTGCCTTATAACTATTCCATTCAAAGTACTCGAGTCCCGTATTGTGTTCAACAAGACTTCTAGAGTTAAAATAAACAACAATGGGGATAACGGACAACCTTGTCTTGTGCCTTTTTCTATACTAAAATTTGTAGTTAAACTTCCATTAATGATGATTTGTGCTGTTTGCTCCTGATAAATTGCTGAAACCACCTGCACGAACTGATCCCCAAAGTCCATCTTTCTTAAAATCTTTAATAGAAAGTTCCAGTTCACTCGATCAAAGGCCTTCTCCACATCCAGAAACACCAGCACTGCAGAGATGTTTATTCTTCTCAAGATATTCCAATAAAACTATAATTTGCCTCACATTATCCTTCATGTATCTGCTTTCTATAAATCCTGCTTGATCATGATGAATCACCTCTTGAATAACTGGCATTAATCTGTTGGCTAGTACTTTTGCAAAAATTTTATAATCCGTATTCAGGAAAGATATTGGTCTAAAATTTTCCGGTTTTGTAGAACCTGCTTCCTCTTTCGGTATCAAAGAAACAAAAGCTGCTTTCCATGAAGGGGGTATTTTACCCCCTTGTTGTATGCTACAAAATAAGTCTTTAAGATGTTCAATCATTTCTACTTGTAAAGTTTTATAATACACCGCAGTTAAACGATCCGTTTCTGGAGCTTTAGCTGTTTTCAGTTGTTTAATAGAAACAATAATCTCTTCAGCTGTTATTGGTAGACTCGTTCTTTCCTTTTGATCACTAGAGATTTTCATAACTCTCCTTTCTTCTAGATATTTATTTATAAGTTCATTCTGTATATCATCTTTGGCATATACTTTAGTATAATAATCTAAGAAGGCTTCTTTAATTAGTCTTTGTTGAAAAACATCCTTCCCTCCATACTCAATACTGCCAATAGTCCGAGTACTCTGCTGCTTCCTCAGTGTATAAGCCAACCACCTGCCCAGTTTATTAGCATTGCAAAATGTATTATGTTTCGCAAATTGTAAATTAGTTGCTGCTTGTTCCGCTGTAAGCATTTGAAATTGATCTTTCAAAAGTTTTATAATTCCTTGTAATTTTTCATCTGTTGGATTTTTTATGAGTAAGTGTT